ATATCTCTTGTTCTCCTGTCCCCTTCTGTCCCTGGTGCCCTTATTCTGATCCTGTTTCCTTCTGTCCTGTTTCCCTTCTGTCCTGTTCCCTTTCTGTCCCTTTTCCGTTGGCTCGATAGTTCCCTTCTGTCCTTGGATTCGCCTTCTGTTCCTGTTCCCTTCTGTCCTGTTCCCTTCTGTCCTGTACCACGGATCATCTAGATCACTGTTTCCCTTCTGTACCTTGTTTTCCCTTCGGTCCTGATTACACACTCTCGTCCGTCTGTTAACCTTCTGTTCCTGTTCCTTCTGGTCCTGTTCCTTCTGTCCCTGTTTTCCCGATCTGTCGCTGTTCCCGTTCGCTGTCCTGTTCCCTTCTGTCTCGTTCGTCCTTTCTGTTTCCTTCTGTCGCTGTTCCCATTCTGTCCTGTTCCTTTCGCTCTCTCTGTCCGTGTAGCCCTTCTGCTCCTCGCCCTTGCCTTCGTGTCCCTGTTTCCTTGCTGTCCTGTCCTTTCTGTGCTGTTCCCATCTGTCCTGTTCCCTTCTGTGTTCCCTTCTGTCCTGTTCCCATTCTGTCCTGTCCCTTCTGTCCTGTTCCCTTCTGTCCTGTTCCCTTGCTGTCTGTTCCCTTCTGTCCTGTTCCCTTCTGTCTCTGTTCCTTCTGTCCTGTTCACCGTGTCCTAACAAGGATTTTCGAAATAATGATAAAAGCAACAAACAAGAAATTAAAACGAATTAGTGATTCTTTCAAATTGTATTGGTCGGGTTCAGAATTTTTTTATAATTGTTTTAGTGATTTCCAAGTATTTAAAAAGTGAAATAATAATTAACGAAACTAGTGGATAAAGAATGGTATAATAGCACAAGTGGTATATTCAAGAAAACGAGCGACCACAGTAGCAAGTATTTTTTTTATTTTGCACGGGGGCATTTACTCCCCTTTATCGTGTTACATTCAATATTTTTTTACTTTCCGTTTAAGAATAATTCCGGTTTTGAAAACTACAAACATATCATTACCATACAGGGCATAAATTTGATGATGTCATATTCGTTCTGAACAAGACATGTTAGTGAGCCTTGCACAAAAACAAAAGATAAAGGAGTTCGTGATAAAAAAATCTCACTAATTTAGAAGAAAAGAACTAAATAGTTTCTTGGCGGAGGCAGCAGTCCAGTAAAATCATCTTACGACGGCACGTTTAGTAGTGACTGTCATAAAGTCAGCTGACAGTTATTGCCCCAAATGGGATATTAATTCTAATTTCTTCTTCTATGGCAAATAAATAAATCATTAAAATAAATTAATACGTCAGTAATAATTCACATTGTTAGTTGAGGGCAAAATTAAACATTTAGAATCGAAAGGATTTTAATTTCATTCAGAACAGTTTTAACAGACATTATTTTTTGTTAAAAAAAGCTGTGCGCTGAGAGACTTGATAATTTAGAGGGGAACAGTTAATTATATTATTCACATTATTGCTACTCACAATAAATGTCAGAATGGTGTAATAAAACATACAAAACGCAAACAAGTAAAGAATTACAATTCAAACATATTCTTGCCTCTTGGAAAAAGTGTTTAAGCAAGGAAAAATCTAAAAAGGAAATAATATATTAATAATAATATAAGTCAAATCTCCGTTGATTGATAGAAAACACCAGGTAGCATTTTTGCATGAGCCACTATTCTTCGTAATTCGTTTGACACACTTTGCGCTTACATTCCCCGTTTCATCTTGCCCTCCCTGGATTTCGAGGGGAAATAAAAGTGGAGATAAGTTTTCCGTGCTCGCAGGAGCGTCGGGCTTCCCAGGCGGGCACGTAGCTCGTGTAGGCGCTGTTCTTTTGGACAAGACTATGCGATTACTAACAAATCCTGTAAGAATGTTGAAAGACGCCTTATCACATTTTTATCGCAGACTTGTGGAGCTTTTCTCACAATAAGGACAGTTTCCGACAATTGCATGAATTCTACGAAGTTGTAAAATGAACGGTAAAGAGAAAAGAGAATCTTCAGAAAAGTTTTCAAACTTCTTGGGAGAATTTTTCAAAATCCATTTGGAGAAATCCGTCATCTTCAGTATTGGACAGAAATACATGATACGATCGTAAAACGACGATAGTATACGTTTTTGAAATATATTATTTGAGGTCATTGACCGTTTCCGTCTGTTTGGTTGAATCAAGCTCCGCTTATCTAACGCGTGTAATTAGAATGTACTGAACTGATCAATGTCTTTCAACTTATCCTGTCCACATATCTGTAGGAATTAAAGCCAATCTTGCAGAACGAATAAAGCCACTTTAATTTTTCAAAGTTGTCCCCCTAATTTGTTTGTTTCATTGTACAATGTTTAATTTGTTCTTTTTTAATGATTTTCTGCGCATTCAGTAAATCAAAGATTACATTTTCCGTCCGGAGGGACGACATTGCTAAGACAGTAGTGCCGTAGCGATCTCGGACTGAAGAATCGCCGGTTAGAGTCCCGCCTCGGGCATGGTTGTATTTGTGTTCGTCTTTTCACCCCTCATCATCGCCATATCACATCATACTGTTATCCATCGTTAATATATAGTGGTCGCTAATGGCATAACTGTTGATACTACCTTAAATAAATACATAAATAAAAAATAAATAAATAAAAACATAAATAAATAAATATATAAATAAATATATATTACTTTTATCAAAAATGGTCATAGTGTTTGCAAAGTAGATTCCAAAGAATTGAAGTTGCCCGTTACAATCTTGTTAATTAGTATTTCATAACTGAATTACAGCGAGTGATTTAGGAATAATCCATATCGCGATAGACATTAATTGCAGCTAAGTCATTGCGAGAGAGCAGTTTTCACATAATTCAGCAAATGAACCCAGCGCCAAAAATTATGGCGTCAAAACCTTAACTAATCTTCCCTCTCAACCTTTCTTGATATTTTCTGGATTTTAATGTAAAATTATCTATTAAACTTTGTGTTCATCTTCGGTGAATGCTGTTTGTACATGAGAAATATATTCGAACTTTCAGTAAGAAGATTGACGAGTGTACATACATTATACATATAGTGATACATTATGTCAGGTCAGTTTGCTTTCACTAATGGCACTACTAGCCTTGCTGAGACTGCTCGTCGATTTTGCTACATCTTTACACTTTAATGTGAGTAAAATCAATAATTTTGTCGCATTAACATTAATTCAATTTCGCAAATAGTAAGCGGCTTCGCACTTATTTTTCCCTAATTCTATTCGAAAATCAATGATAAGAATCGTGGAGCATTTCATTTTTTCGTTTAATACATTCAATATACCTATTAATTCAACGCAAACTCGTTGATTATCCCTTATTAATTAAACGGGTGTAATTAAAACTCCGCCCCTATCAATGGAACTCAGAAAAGGGTAAAATTCGTGTAATTAATTCACAGTTGACACATAAATTGCGCAACGCAAATTAGTGGAACAATAATCAGCAACATTTATTAAGAAATATTTAGTTACTTCCACTGAGCTATTTTAATATTTGAAGTACAATTGCTTCACTTGGAGAATTTAACAATTAATGATTAGTCAATATTACAGTACTTGTCAGTAGGGCACATATGTCGAGAGTCAAGACTGATGGGCTAGGTATCCAGAGACGTACCTCCACCACGGAGCTATTGGTATAACCTTTATTTTTAAACCTCAGGCCAGATGCTCGGGACGCATTGCCCGCGAGCTCTAGGAAGCTAGTTACTTTGCCCGCGACCATGACTTGCCTAGCCTGCAGTGCTTGGCCTATTGCGGAAAAACGTGTGAAGCCAAATAGTTACAAATCTGGTGAAATTGAGTTAAAGTTACAGGAACAAAGTAAACTTTTTTTGAATTTGTAATGAAAACTGCAAGTTAAGATTTTACATAATACAACCAAAATGTTGCAAATGTGATCGCAAGAATTTAATTGGGCACATTTCACATACTTTTATGCGTTTTTTTTTCTTCATAGAAGTAGTACGGCATACAGTATATATCATGGGGTTGTTGGAGAAACTCATTAAATTTCTAGGACTTTATATTAATTATTTGATTATAATAAATAATGAATTCATATGTCAAATATGTTCTTCACACACTTCTAGCTATGCTTCTTGTTCACGTTGTTGAAAATATACGATATTGAAGAGAATTTTACTAGAACTGTTTGATGATCAATCACTCAAAAAATAGTAGAAAATTGTTGTAAAATTGTAAGTTCATTTTATGTTTGATACACGAAAACCCCTTAACGTTCGATCTGTGTGTTTATCAAAGATGTTGAGAGGACAAAAATAGAAACATTTTATACAAATTAAAAAAAGAACATGTCTAGGTCAAACCGTTCTTATTTTATTGCAAAAACGCTCCATTTTTATTTGAAATTAATTTTAGGGCTATGAGGCAGGTCTTAACGTTACCCGATGGAACTAAAACATTAAGAATCTCATTTTCACATCAATGGGCTACTTTCTAGTGCTTTCTGCTTCTAGGACTATGCACAGTCGCCTTGAAAACCAATCTCAAGGCTGTGCTTAATAATGATGACATTGCTTACGCACTAGGTAAAGAAACTCTTTTTCTGAACCTTATAAAATACAATGAATAAGTGTCTTTAAGTTATACCAATATTGCTTTATATATAAGGTTGC